ATTATCAGAGTTTATCACATTAGTAAGGGCTGGTATTGTGTCCTAAGACTTTTTTTTTTTTAAGTTATATCCATCTACATCCAAGTATGTACGAGCATGTCCTGGATCAAATTTTTAAGTGTTTTTATTGCTTCAGAAATATTACACTGGAGCTTACTGTTTTTTATTTGATCCACTATAATCTCTTGGACAGCAGGAACTGAGTCCATCTCAAGCTTATCCCAGGGCCTGACTCATAAATATTTGGTAGATGACAAAGTCTATGTCTCTGTTTCCCACCTTTAACACCAGAGCAGATGCCTCAACCAACTGTATCATCTAACAATGAGGAGGAGGAACTCAGAGGCCATCATGGGCTTTCTTAGGCTCTCCCAGCAAGTCAAGGCAGCACTGACTATCCTGCAATGTCTCTAGCCCTACGAGGCTCCAGACATACTTAAGGGCAAATTTTTATACATTGGGGATTCTTGTACCCCTACCAGAATTTAATGAAAAGTGCGTATTCATTTATTACTAAACATGGCAAATAATTTCATGAGGTTACTGGACCCCTTGTGGCTCATCCCTGAATGCCAGATACAGGTGGTCTGAGACATTCATTCACTGGACAAATATTTATTGAGTATTTACTATGTGCCAAACACTAATCTAGTCCCTGCCATGGAGCTTGCATCCATCTGGGAACACTCCAACACACACGTACACATATAATGTAATGTCAGAGGTGAGTGTTACGAGAAAATATAAAGGAGGGAGGAAGAAGGGGTGCTACTTTATATGAGGTAGTCAGGGAGGAGCCTCTCTGAGAAAGTGACATTTCAGCAGAGTTAAGAAGAAAGCAAATGAATAAGTCATTTAAATATCTGCTAGACTATCCCAGGATGGAGAAACAGCAAGGGCAAAAGTCCTGGGGCAGGAATGAGCATCATGATCAATGAGAACAGTAGAGTGAGCAAGCTGTGTAAGGCCATGCAGGCCACTATTAAGACTTTGGCTTTTTCTCTGAGTAACAGGGAACCACTGGAAGGTTATTAGCAAAGATATTACATGGTCTAACTCATTTCAAAGTGGTCCCTCTGGCTGGTTTGTTGAGAACAGACTGTAGGGGATAAGAGTAGAAGCAGGAAGACCAATTAAAAGACTACTGTAACAGTCAAAAGACATGCCTGCACCAGGGTGGTAGCAGTGGAGGTTGTAAATTCTCAGCTTACAGATATACTTTGAAGAGAGAGCCAGTAGGATTGCTGAGGTGAAATCTGAAAGTTAAAATAATCCCTGAAGGAGGGAAAACTATACTGTATAATACAAAGAGTATGCAAACATTTAAAACATTGTATGCAAATGTTTTAAAAATCATGGCTAGGAGGGAGGGGTATCCCAAGATGGAATGCGGTATGTGACATTCTGAATCTAAATGTATTAAACAACTTCACTGAGGGAGGGGGGAATAAGGTGCTGACCAAAGTAACTTTGGAGTAAGACTGAAAGCAAAAGGAACTGTATATAGGCACTGTACTCTTGGTGACAAAGTTGTTTCCCACAGGGGACACAGGCGAACATTTCTAAAACCACTATACAAAAGTAAACATGAAAAAGTTAAAAATAATAAAACCAATTGAACAATTAAGTAACTGGATGGTGGATGGTGAGAGTCAGGTTTGTCACAGGTGGAGTGGGAGTTTACAGATAAGCAAGAGGAGGAAGCTAGAAGAATCCATGTGGTAATGGATGAGACATTGAGGCACCACTAAGTTTAACTTAATATAGATCCAGGTGGTTACATATAGAAATATTTATAGATATGTGTATATACACATATATTTCTTGCTCTGTCCACTGAGAGAGTCTAGAAGGAAGGACACCCCAGTAGCAATGAGGACACCTAGCACCCAGATCTTGGTTTCTGGGACATTCTCCAGTAAAAGGAGCGAAGGTCCCTTGGCAAATGGCTAATTCTAGGAAGAGGGCAGAAATATACAAAATGAGCTTGGAAGAGAAAGTAAGAAATTGCTCAAAAAAAGCAAACAAAAAAACACACTGAGGGGGGTATGTCAAAGGGATCAGAAGCCAATTGAAAGAGCTCCCAAAGGCCAAAATTGGAATTTTTTTTTTCTGTTATTAAATCTTTAATGAATGTACAATTGACCACTGGACAGAAAATACAAGTGAGCATATGATAGATTTGGTAGATCTATTTGAAAAGAAGGGGTACTTCCTTATGACCCCCCAGTGCTGAGCCCCTTCTCTCTTTGTTTTCCCTGGGAGATTATATCAAGTTTAATGTCACCTGACCTGGTCTGGATACCATATTTCTGATTATAGGGGCTTTCCTCGTTGAAGCCTAGCCCAGGAGTCTCACATGAATTCAAGTGAAAAACAAAAAACTGAGCACTTCTCTTTTTTATAAGCTGTTTTAGTGATATGGTGTTCTTAAACTAACCAGACTTTACCATGGGGACTTCTTACATTTCTCAGCAGTAAAACCAAAGGCATTTTAGGTAGGACATTTCTTTATCACATGGAACTGTCCTGTTAATTATATGAACATTTAGCATCTTTTTCCTTCCCACTGAACACCATGAAAGCCCAAATCACTTAAACATCCCTAGATAGGGAGAAAAGGAAGTGGAGGTCGTACTTCCCCTGGTTGAAGACCCAGAAGTAGAGGCCAGGAGAAATAATATTCCTTTTTTTTTTTTTTTTTTTGCTACATTTGCTTTTTCATAATTTTTACTTATTTACTTTTAATTTCTTATTGCTGTAAAATACATATAAGATTTGCCATTTTGGGCCGAGCCCGTGGCGCACTCGGGAGAGTGAGGCGCTGGGAGCGCAGCGACGCTCCCGTCGCGGGTTCGGATCCTATATAGGGATGGCCGGTGCGCTCACTGGCTGAGTGCAGTGCGGGAGACACCAAGCCAAGGGTTGCGATCCCCTTACCGGTCACGAAAAAGACAAAAAAAAAAAAGATTTGCCATTTTAACCATTTTTAAGCATAAAATTCTGTGGAATTAATTACATTCACAATCACCTCTATTTCCAAAGCTTTGTTGTCCTAAACATAAACTCTGTACCCATCAAGCAATAACTTCCCATTATTCCTCCCCTCCACAAAATTGGAACTACTTGAGCAACAAAATAAATAAAGTTGTACTCTGTCATAACCCAAAGTATAAACTAGATATCCCTGAGCCCATACCAATATAAATGATTGAATAATAAACAAAGGGAGAATAGACAAATCTCCCACTGGAATTCCAAATAATTTATTTGGATATTCTGCCTTAAGTGTGGAGCATAATTCTATACTCCTGAAATGTGGGCTATACATAATGACCCTCTTCCAAGAGTACAGTATGGAAAGGGGGGGAGAAAGCATAACTTTACAGGGGAAAAACTTGACTATTACCTCAATCCAGGTGATCTGGGTTAACATCAAACAGTGTTAACTCATACTGACAGTATGTATTCTTGATATCATGTGATGAAAATAGCACTTTACCTCTGTGGTCTCACTCCCCAAAACCCATACCCTAGTCCAATCATGAGAAAAACAGACAAAACCCAACTGAGGATTATTCTGCAAAATATCTGACCAGTAATCCTCAAAACTGTCAAGTTCATTCAAAACAAGGAAAATGAGAGAAGTTATCACAGCTACGAGAAGCCTAAGGAGACATGACTACTAAATGTAATGTGGTATCCTCCTGGATAGGATACTGGAACAGGACATTAGGGAAAAAACAAGGAAATGTGAATAAAGTATGGACTTTAGTTAATAAAAATTATCAGTACTGGTTCATTAATTGTGACAAATGTAACATACTAATTAGTGTACGATGTTAATAACAGCGGAAACTGGGCATGGGGTATATGGGAACTCACTGCAGTATCTCCGTAATAACTTGGTAAATCTAAAACTGTTCTAAAATAAAAAGATTATTGGGGGAAAATAATAGGTCAACGTCTCAAAATAAAAAAATAACCACTGAGACATGTATAGATTTCAAGACATAGCAAATACTAACCAAATCTTCTCTAAGACTAAGAAACCCAGATTCCAAAATTGCCAGAGGACTCACCACCTCTTAGTTTCCCCGTTGCATAGTATGTTTAGTAGGGGATTCTTGGCTTCTCTAATAAAGGGATTTTTAAATTCTGTTCTGAGAATTCAACTGAAACAGACTCGGGGAATAGAAAACCAGTGTCATGAGTTATTGCCTTATAGCAATGTATACCTAGACCCGCCCCATTTTAGCAACTTCCCAAGACTGCTCAAAATTGGGTTAAAATATCTGCTATGGAAATCTATGCTACCTCTCAGGGCAGAGCCACAACTGGTAGCCATTGGGCTGAAACTGGTGTGCAAAGGTCCTGCAAAATAATTAATCCGAATTTGTTGTCACCATTTTAAAAGTGTGATATTTCACAAATTTATTTCCCACTTCTCTTAAAAATAATTAATTCATACAACGAACCAACCACCATGAGCCTACTAAGCGCTTTACATTCACCATATCCTTTAAGCCTCAGATAAAACCTACGTGTCCATTTTACAGAGGTGGAAACAGAACCAGAGAGGAAATGTGACTTGCCCACGGTTACACAGCAATACCGGGTATGCTAAGGATTCGGACCCCGGCCAGACCTGACTCCGGAGCACGTGCTCCTCCTAATGCTGCACCTGTGGGAGGGAAGTCCCGGACATGGGCGTCAGGAGCCCTGGGTTCTGGCCAAGGCGATGCCTAAAGCGCTCGGAGGCACAGGAGAGGCCCTCCGCCTTCCTGGGGCCCAAATTCCCCTCTGCAGGTAGTAACTTTCTAACGAGCGTACAGAGAAGTTATTCACGCCGCGGTCACAGCAACGCCCGGGCCAGGCGAGCAGCTCCGCCAGGGACCGACCGCCGCGCCCGAGCCCGCCCTCTATCTCGGTTCCCGCCGCACCTCAGACTCCGCCCCGCCGGGAAGCCCCGGCCCTGCCGCCCACACCGCCGCACTCACCTCCGCACCTCCGCGCCGCTGCCCCGGAAGCGCTTCCCTCGCAACCCCTGGATCCCGGAAGTGATGCGCCCTAAGCAACCTGCGGTCTCAGCTCCTCCCGTGTTGCTAAGGTGGTGGTGTGTGTGGCTGCTAGGCTTTATCGGACTTTTGTTCCTGCTCTGTAGGTTTAATCCGGCTGGAGAGGCCTGGAGAAGCGAGATCCAGACACCCTCGATTCTCCAAGCCCCTTTATCATTCAGCCCATTTCAACAAACGTTTAGAGTAGCCTTAATTCTGTGCCAGGCCCTGAGCTAGGAGCTTACAGTGCAGAGGGGAGAACAAACAGAAACACATCTTGTAATTCAGACAGAAGCAAATCATTAAAATTCATTCAAAAACATTCACTGAACACCTACTCTATGCTTTGTGCTGGTCACCGAGGGTACAGTGCTGAACCAGACGGATGCAGTCTCTGCCTTCGTGGAGCTTACAGTCCGTTGGAGGCAGACAGACTAAAAGAATTAAATGAACATGTAGTCATATAATGTGATAAGTGTTTGGAGGGCAAAGAACAGAGTTCCATGATTGAAAATGGGTGGGGAAGTAGTAGGGGAAAATAATTCACCTCCATCATGGACCACAATAATTCTTGACTCCTGGTATCCACGCCCTTTTGTAGTCCCTCCCACAATGAATAGTGCTGACCTGTATAATGGATAGGATACGGAGGAAATCATGGAGCATGAGTTCCAAGATTAAGTCATAAAATACATTGCAATTCATGTTGTGAGGACATTCAAGCAGCCCTATGGAGAGGCTCACGTGGGTAGTAATTAAGCCTCCTGCCAACTACCAACTTGCCAGCCAAGTGTGTGAGCCACTTTAGGGGTGGATCCTCCAGTCCTAGTGAAGCCTTCAGATGACTGTGGCCCTGGCCAAAATCTTAAATATAACCTCCTGAGAGACCTTGAGCCAGGAACACCCAACCAGCAAAATTACTTGAATTCCTGACCCATAGAAATTGTGAAATAATAACTGTTATTGTGTTAAGGCCTAAGTTTCAGGGTAATTGGTTATGAAGCATAGATAACTAATACATAGAGGATACATAACTAATACAAGGGGGAGCTTACTCTCTCTTGAAGGACAGACAGAAATAGTTATAATTCATTCAACACTCACTAATCCCATAGTATGCGAGGTACTATGGGGGATCCAAAATGCACCATTCATTCATTCATTCATTCATTTTTTCATTCAGCAAATATTTATGGAGTTTCTACTCTGCATCATGCACTATGAAACTGGGAAGACAATGGTAGGTAGGTGTGTCCCTACCCTCACTGTGCTTACAGACTAGGGGTTAATGTCTGTCACCCCACTAATCAATCACACAAGTAAATGTATACTTATGAATATGAGATGTGTTGGGAAGAAAAAAGAACCATGAGAGAATAAATAGTAGAGAGGGTGATCAAAGAAGGGTTCTCTGAGGAGGTAACATTTAAGGTAAGAAGTGAAGAATGAATAGGAATTTGCCAGGCAAAAAGAAGGAGGAAAGAACATAGTAGGGGAGGGAAGACTGGGTGTGGGAAAGGGTTTGGAGCATAACAATAGCGGAGTGGGGAGTGAAACTGAGGCCTGAAGAATACAAGTATTTAGGACAGGCCTTGGTACTTACCCTGGAGGGGATCACTGTGGGTTGTGGATGAGGAGGGTGTTTTATGGGTTGAATGTGTCCCCCAAAAGATATGCTTGAGTCCTAATGCCCAAGACCTCAGAATATGATCTTATTTGGAGATAGGATCTTTACAAAGGTAATCGAGTTAAAATGAGGTCATTGCGGGGGCCCTAATCCAATATGACTGGTGTCTTATAAAAAGGGGAAATTTGGACACAGGTGCACGCATAGGGAGAATGCCATGTGAAGATGAAGGCAGATATCAGGGTAATGTTTCTACAGCCAAGTAATGCCAGAGATTGCCAGCAAACCACTGGACACTAGGAGAGGGGCATGGAACAGATTTTCACAGTCCTCAGAAGGTGCTGACAGACACCCTGATATCAGACTCCTAGTCTCCAGAACTGTGAGAAAATAGATATCTGTTTTTTAAGTCACCCAATTTGTGGGACTTTGTTATGGAGGCTAGCATACTAATACAGGTGTGCAAGTACTTTAAAACCTGATGCATTTGGCATCCAAGTGTAAAAGATTCTCTGTGTGCCTGCTGCAGGCATAGCTACATTCTCACTTTCTGGAAGCTCCTAGAGGCCTCCAGCTGAGTTTTGCTCATCTCTGTGCCCTGTGTGGCTCCATTAGCACCTCAGCACAGTGGAGAGCTTTGTGGCATGCTTGTTCCTATCCATAATATCTATGCAAGGCACAGTACTCTCACTAGGAAGGGGAAAAGGTTGAAAAAGGCATGGTCTCTGCTCCGGAAAAAAAATTTTTTTTTAAGTTTCTAACACAAGCTAGTTTTGTAAGTATTAATTAGAGCTGCCATTTGTTGCGTATTCATTAGGTGCCTAGTGCTTTACACATATCAGTATCCTCCCTCCAGCATCCCTATAAGGTACGTATTTACAGGTGAAGAAACCTAGACTGGAAAAATCAAGAGACGTTCCCAAGGTCTCACAGAGACTGCGTGCGTAACCATTGCACTACCCAGTCAACATGTATAAGCCAGACAAGTGCTACAGATGTGAACACTCTAGGAAAGGGGGAAGGATTAGCTGGGACTGAGGTATCTGGGAAGGCTTCCTGAAGGAGGCAGCTCAATCTGGGTCCCGGATGATGGGCTGAATTGGGATATGGGAAAAGGAAAGTAGGGGTGCAAAACTCACTTTTTCACCTCCAAACTTCTGCCTCTGTTGGTCTTTCTGCCTGAAATGCTTTCTTTTTCTGGCTCCTCACGAGACAGGTTCATTCTCATCCCTCAGGGCCCAGCCCAGATGGCACCTTTTCAGAAAAGACCTCCCTGATCATCCCTTGTGGCTGACCGTCTCTCCTAACGATGGCTGCAGCAGTACTATTTCCCATTTCAAATGCTCTTCTGCCTCGGGACTGCTTTGAGCAATAGACCACTGTGAAGAGACACTGTGTCAGCTTGGGCGTGGCACTTAACTGGCCTGGAAGTCAGCCGCCATGGCTGGTGTGGGACTACCCTGAGACCACTGAGCTGTGAGAGGCCCAACCCACGTGGGGAGAAAGAACATCAGACATTAGACCCAGAAGTGAGGAAGTCATCTTGGAGAAGGTGGAGAGATGGAAAAATATGTAATCAAGTAAATACGTTAGGATGTTAAGCACAGAATCTAGGTGGTGGGTATAGTGTTTGCCATATAATTCTTTTGATTTTCTTGTATATTTGAAATTTTTCATTATAAAACTTTGGACAACAAAGAAACCATCTTGGAAATGGATTCTCCAGCCCCAGGCAGCTCAGCAGACACCACATGGAGCAGAGATGGGCCCCCCTAACCCAGCCTTAGCCAAATTTCTGACACACAACATCGTGAGCTATACAAATATTTCAAGCCTCTAAATGGTGGGGCATAGATAACAAACTCTCTTTCTAAGCAAACCTCCCTTACCTGCTATCACAGCTCCCTGCCTATTTCTTTTATTGCAGTTACCACAATCTATAATTCTCTAGTTTGCTTACTTATTTGATATCATTTTCTCCCCCGCTATAATGTCATCTCCATTTCCTTTGTTCACTCCTGTCTCCCAGCACCTAGCACACAGCCTGGTTCATGTAGGTACATATGAATGTTTCTTGAGTGACTGACTGAGATCAGGAGATGGAGCCCTTCCGAGGAGTAATGGGAGAGAATATTGAGCTTATACAGTAGGGGAGAAGCTGGTATTCATCACTTGGGCTGCCCAATATCTGAGCCTCCATTTGTAGGAATCCCAAGAAGCAGGGAGAAGCAGCCCCCTCTCCCACTATGGCAGATGGATGGGAGATACATCCTCTCCTCAATTCCTGATAGAGCGTGGATGCCGGACCTAACCATGACCAGTCAGGATTTCCACCCCAGACTCTGAATCCAGAGGCAGAGTTGCCAGCTGCAAGGGTTAGTCAGAGACTGTGGTAAGTCTAGAGTCCAGGGCCTTGTTCAGAACAGGTGGCTCTGGTGCAGGATTGGCCATACTTGTCCTTGGGTGGTTCCTGCCTGAGCCCAGTACTCCAACTTCCCATCAACTCTTTCTCACTTTAGGTTCAGCTTCAGTGTGAAACCAAGAACACTGAGTGTGGTGGATCCTGATGACTCCAGAATGCAGGGCCAAAATGAGAGGTCAGTCTCCTCCAAGTGGCAGGGACATCTTCCATGTGCCAGAAAGGCTAGGGATACATTCATCTCAGAGCCAGTGAGGCCCAGACAGCAGTGGGGACTCACCACCTTCTGGACTCTCCCTCTGGGCCTCCAGGAGCCTCATAGCAGATAACCAACTTTGATTGTTCAAGGCCTGTTTCCCTCCACTGTCTATGAGGTGCGAACTCCACACAAGGTGAGGCTGGATTCCATACTCGTGTCTGTAAACCCACAGCGCCCAGGTCCTATTCCTGTACCCCAGGATCTTCCAGAAAGTGTGCTACAAAGGAGAACAGGCTCACATTCAATTCTGGGCTTACTAGAGAAGACATCAAACAGAATTTCCATCAGAAGATCGACCACATGTCAACAGCCTAGATGGTCTGCCCTTTCCAGGAAAATCCAAATGCCCTGACCTATTCTCGAGACCCAAGATTTCCCACAGTTCTGAAACCTGAAAAGTTTCATTCAGCAGACATTCATTGAGCACCAACTGTATGCCAGATAGATACTGGGGACAAAACCTTGGCCTCTGGTGGTAGGAAACAGACATAGAAACAAACTAATACAATAGGATATTTTGAATTCTACAAGAGAAGTGGATGCAGAGTGACGTGGGAACCCAGGAGAAGCATCAGACTCTACTTTTAGCATTCATGAAAGGCTTCCCAGAGTAGGTGACATTCAATGTACCGGAGGAGGGTACAGCAGAAGCAAAGGCCCCAGGCCAGGGTTCTCACTCCCAGCTCCC